ATTAGTGGTTAGAACAAAGAGTTACATGCATACAGTGCAGAAATTTTTCCCCTCTCCAATGAGAATGCACACACAATGCAAATGTCTAATCCCTCCATAAACTACACAGGAGCCCAGAGAAAATTTTTATTCAATTCTGCTTTAACTTAAGACAAGGGAAGAGGAAGGACCAAATGGAGTTATATGGAACTCATACTACAGTATTAAGCACTACAGTGGTGCCCCGCTAAACGATTACCTCACAAAATAACGAATCTGCATGACAATGAGATTTTGTGATCGCTATACGATGGGCGATTTTCGCTATACGATGTTTCGGTCCATGCTTCGCAAGACGGTCCCCCCCCCGGGACCGATGCTTCGCAAGATGATTTTAACAGCTGATCAGCTCTTCACAAAATGGGTGTTTTCGGGACCAATGCTTCACAAGACAGCGGTTTTAACAGCTGATCGACACTTCGCAAAATGGCTTCCCTATGGGTGATTTTAGCAAACAACGACTACTTTCCCCATTGGAATGCATTAAATGAATTCCAATGCATTCCAATGGGGAATCGTATTTCACAAGACAGCGATTTCAATGGAACGGATTAACATCGTCTTGCAGGGCACCACTGTAATTAGTTACAGCTTAGGGAACACAGCTAGCATAGGGATTTAGATCAAGGTATGAATTAGATGTCTAGGCCTAACCTCACCTCTTCTATAAACTCACTAGATAGTCTTATTTAAGTCCCCTGATCTCAGCACCTCCATATAAACTACAGAAATACTACTTTCCCATGACTGTTATAGGAACAAGACAATGATTTTGGGACTTGAGATCTATGTTTTATCCCGACCAATACCATTAGACCTACTTTAGTTTAAAAATCAAGGTTAATACTATTATTATTACAGTTATTATAGTTGTTGTTATTGTTGTTGTGCACCATCAAACTGCTTCCAAGTTTTGGCAACTCTATGAATTATTTATTTATTTATTTAATTTATACCCCGCCTATCTGATTACTGACCACTATTAAATGAATTACTGTACACTATTAAAATTCTTTAAACAGGAACAGCTGAATTCTCCCAGACTCATCATCAAATTGGGCACTGCCATGAAAGTATTATCAAACACTTTTTAAATAAAATTCTGCTCAGTTATATTTCTTTCAACTCTCTCTATAGGCCTACTAATGATTGATACATCTAAACAATTTCATATTCTGATTAAAATCTAAGTGTCTAAACTGCTTGCCTATCTTTTAAGTCTCTCACCATGTTACCTCATCACTTTCTCCTATGCTGTGGCATCCATATTTTAAAATAACTAGCAAAAGCCTTTCTGCTCTGCCAGTGTAAATTGTTTCTTTGGGACACAGGTGCCTCATCAGTCAATGCACTGAGACTTTAGAACTTCCTTCCTGTACAGCCTAGTTTACCACAAACATGTACCACTATTGTATACAATTGCACCTTTATTCTGCTGAAGCACTGTATTGTTTTGCTGCTCTTTTACCCTTCTCTGCTATCTTTATCTCCTATTTTTTCTTATATTTTAATTTTTATATTGCTTTTTGCTGTGTCTTGTACTACAACTTTGGGCACTTAATACAGACTAAGAGAGCAGGAACAGTTCATGTGGGCAAATGTCCACTTGTTTCTAAAACACAATACATTGTAGAGCTGCACAAAATAATTTAAATGTCTCAATTTCTCATGTACAGTCTTTCTATTCAAGAAGAAACATCTTTTGTGTACGTACATGGCTTCTGCCCCTTTGTTTGGAGAACAGAAGTGTGAAATCCAACCCACAGCTGCCTCAGTATAACTTTAAAACAACTTCCTATCTCACTGAATACAGATGATACCTGGTGAAATTCGTCTTGCCAAGAAATTTACATCTAAGAGTAATCTGGCAAATCCCATCTTGCCACAAACATCTGGACTTTTGGTACCTGCTTTGAAGAAGTGGGATTTACCCACAAAAGCTCACATTGCATATGATTTTTGCTTTCTTAGTGGCCCATAAAGGTGTTGCCTATTCCTGCATTATTTTGTAATGGCCACACAGTTCCACCCTTTTATTTCTCCTCTTTTGTCACAGATGCATGTCTTCTGTAAACAAGTGCACACATTTTCTGTTGCCGTATCCCACATTTTTTACTACATGGTACAATTATGTAACTTTTTGTTAAATGCCAATATCTGGACAACTTACATCTTCTCATCTCAGCTTTTAGCAATTACCATTTCATAGGTTTCAATGTGAATCACACACAGGCTTTGAACAAGTGGAAAATGCTTGCTTCATATGTACAGAATAGATCTCACAACCTAAAATGCTTGCTTCATATGTACAGAATAGATCTCACAACCTGCCGTATACTGCCATTCTCAAGTGTTCATTAAACGTCCAATGTACGTGTAAATCTCTTGTAGGCTGTAATAACAGTACTTTCACTGGAAATTACTGGAAGTCAGAATGGCCAGAAGCCAGTTACACCAAGTCAGTTTTCTTCTATAAGAACGTACACAAACTCTGTCACCAAGAAATACCTCTTTTCCTTAGTGGCATCAATTTAGGCTATTCAGTGTTTTCTCTCAATCCCATCAGCTATCAAGGAAGATAAAATTTACCTAACAGTAAACATATTGTCAACATGTAACAAGGTACCACGTTCCAGACGATGCAGCAAGCAAAAATACCTTCTGACATTTAAAAAACTTATGACATAATAGATCTCATTAAAGACCTAGACAGAAACCCACTGAATGTGGACAAAATGCTAAAATTCCACATATAGTTTTGCACAATCACCTGTTTGCTGTTGTACAAGCAACCCCCCCCCAGGCTTCTCACAAAAAGGCACTGCATATTTCTTTACACAACTTCAGAAATGTCAGCTAGTGGTTTTCTGGAACAAGATTATTCTCCAATCTCCCAGGTGACACAAATCTGTTTTAACTTTGCAACTGGAATCCTCAGGAAGTGGCCACATTATCTCTGTGTGTGTCATTAATCATTTCCCATAAAATAAGGTCATTAAATGAAGCTAGAATTAGTAAATTAGACTACAAAAAAGTCTGTGTTAAACATTATTGGAGCATTATTCTACAATGATACTACATTATTATACCTTGATAGCAATGGCAACAAAACACACACACAGTTCCCGGTCATAACTGTTGAGTCATATGCCACTTTGTGCTATAAGAGTCTATACACACAAACACACACCAAGAATACCACATGAGCTGGATGAAGCAGTATCAACACATTCACTTATCCCCAGGAAACAACAGCTTTGAATTTTACAGACCCTTCCACTGGCAGAGTGTCAGTCATGTTTTATGAAAGGTGTAATGAATACCTGTCATCTGAGAACCTTAAATTAGCAATCTGATATTTAAACATGAAACCATCACAGCACTGAACACTATAAAGTTAAGGCCACAACCAGTACAGCAGGTAATTAAGTGTCACTATCCAGCAGCTGTTAGCTATACCTGTATCAATAAAATGGCTGCACTCAGTGGAAACTGTACTAATTCAATATTAATTCTGCAGCACAATTTCACAATAATCTTGATAAATGAGCAGTATAAAAATGTAATAAATATAGAGCTTCAATTTGGCAGGAAAAAAACCTCACAGGCAATACAGGAATTCTAGAAATTTAACCTGAACTGCACTGGGAATCATGAATAACTTGCATTATACTGCCATACTGAATTGTCAGTTTCTTTACGATTTTAAACAAGAAACATGACACTCAATGGGCTTTAGCAAATTTAGCTTTCATTTTGTAACAGTCAAGCAGTTGTTAATGAACATATATGCAACAACAGGGTACCATCAAACATTGTTATCTGCATGGCTTGAAAAATGTGTCTATGACAAGTGAAAAATGCTGCTTGAGAGTCACAGCTCCCGCGCTGCCTGTCTCTCTCTCTCTAATCCTGCAGTCTTCCCCTCCCCCCCACCATTGCTAAAGGAAAACTGCGCTCTTCTCGCGAGAAGAGAGTTGGAGCAGTACACACAGAGATACAGCTCTGCAGGAGAATGTAGAGGAGTCCCATGCTGGAGAATATGGAGATTCCCTGTTCCCAATTTCAAACAAACGATGACACATCCTGGGGTGGGAGGGAACTGTGGCTCCTTAAGAGGCTGGGTGCTTTTGCTTTCAGTTTTATTTTTGCTGGAGACATTCAAAAGAAAGGCATTCAAAATACAAGCATCATGACCCCACAGGCACGCAGGTAATAAAGCTACCTAAGTCTGACGGTATGAATCAGTGATTCCCAATCCCAATAAATTGCAAGGCTATAGCCTGGTCATGCTGTCTGGTGAAATTTTTGACTGACTGCTGAGACATTCTAAAAATTTTCAAGCCCTGGTTATCTCAGTTGACAGAAGGCTTTGATTTGCAAGGGACTTCTCTAAGCTAAAACAGGAGAAAATATCCATTATTTTTTCCCTCTGCTACCTACTCACCAATTCAAGATCTGCCCAGTGAGGTCAGAAGACTCATGGGTCAGCATGGGTAGCAGTGAGCTAAAGAGGAAAGGAGGAATCTGTGAAATATCAGCTTTACCTGACATTAAACCTGATACCCTAAAGTTGGTTCTACAAATTTGCAGTCTCCATCCTAGGACTTCCAACACACATAAGACTATGGCCAGCATGATTTTTACCTTTTCTGTTCCCCGTTCCCCAGCTTTCCAATGCCCAGACTAAAATGTCCATCTTGCAAGTCTCAAAATCTTGCCTGCTTTAAGATTAGAACAATCTAGGACTATCAACCTTTGCTTTTGGATTCAGTATCATGATCATGTGACTTGATGATTGCCAGGAGGCTCTAGTTATAGTTAATTTTAAACTTATAAAGCAGTTCTTGTGAAACATGAATTAAAATGACCCAATGTTTGAAGATACATTTTTCAAGCCAGAACATATTCAAAAGTTACACACAAACATGACTACAAGACCTGTAATCCCAAAATCTCACCTGCAATTTGCTCTTCTGTCAGTTGATCAGCCTAGAAAAGAGGGAAAAAGAAGTTACAGTAGTTTGCTTTTATTTCTAATGTGTATACACTTTATTTTACATAAGCATTCAATCAAGACTGTACCCTCAGGCTTAAAGTACCAAGGCAGCCTATGTAAAGAAAAAGGAATGGAAACAAAGGTAAAGGCCAATTCGATAACACCAGAGTCAGATACAAAGATCTGAAGGTAAAAGGTAAAGGTTCCCCTTGACAATTTTTGTCCAGTCGTGTCCGACTCTAGGGGGCAGTGCTCATCCCCATTTCCAAGCCACAGAGCCAGCGTTTTGTCCGAAGACAATCTTCCATGGTCACATGGCCAGTGCGACTTAGACACGGAACGCTGTTACCTTCCCACAGAGGTGGTCCCTATTTATCTACTCGCATTTGCATGCTTTTGAACCGCTAGGTTGGCGGGAGCTGGGACAAGCGACGGGCGCTCACTCCGTTGCGTGGATTCGATCTTATGACTGCTAGTCTTCTGACCCTGCAGCACAGGCTTCTGCGGTTTAGCCCACAGTGCCACCACGTCCCTACAAAGATCTGAACCAATACGTAAATCCAGATGAGACCAATTGGAATCTGTCTTCTTCACAACATGCAGAAAAGTAACATGCTAAGAGCCTTTGCTTCTCTGCTCACTGAGTGAGGCCAGTATGTTATTTCTGCTAGTGGTGTTCTGGCCCAATTTTATGGAAAACAAAGGGAAAAAAATTCTTCTGGTCAAGAACTGGCACATGAGGATCTGACATGATTTGCCATTAGTTAATGGCCTATGCACCAACAGTAAACTAACTTGGTGCCAGCATATCTCACAAAAACAACATAAAAAAAAAGAAGACAAAAACACTGTAGCACCTTAAAGACTGCTATATTTTAATGTGGCCTTTTGTGGTTAAAGTCCACTTCCTCAAACTAATTTGGTGATAGTTTGCTCATGCAATGTTATACCAGTATCATATTCCAAAAACCAATTAAAAGTAAATATTGATCAACCAGTCATACATAAAATACTGCAATGTGCCACAAAGACTTTCAGCCTTCCAATATTGAATTTCCTAAGATGTCAACACAAACCATTTAATAATCATGTTATCAGTGCTTTTCACATATTTCACTATCTTCTACTTTTTTAAGAACGAATACTGTAACTTGCAGTTAAGATTTTTCCAAATATGCCCTTAGATTCAACAGAGCATAGTAATATTTAGCTGTAAAGGCCATAACTGCATTAATGTTATTGGAAGATTTGTGTAACTTGCCACAACTAACTGATGAGGTGCCAGGGCACATCTTGGTGGCACACTGGGCCACATGGCTGATTGCAGAACTAAGATGGACTTCAGCACCCTGTCAATGAGCAGCAGCAAGTGATACATACCAAATACAAACATCATTCTACAGGATTCATGCCTATGCTTAAAAAACGTAAAAATGCAGCAAAATTAAGAAAACTATTACAGCTAAAAAATGTAAACAAAAACAAGTTACTGTAATTCTTATTTAGAACACTATTGTTTGTGTTGCTGTAGAACTGAACAAGTGTATTAGTACGGACATCTCTAAGACCTTTCCATTAGATTGTATGTTGCATAGTTAAGTGTTCCTAAACCATCAAGCTCAAGTTTGTAATATTAACCACAGCATTAAGTCTACTGTGAGTTTAGAATAAAACATTTAACCTTCAGATAAAACATTTATTAAACCTTCATAACAAACCAGGCTAAAAATAAGCTAACTCTAATTTCACTACACATTTTAGCTTTCAAGGGTTACACTGTAAGTGATTCTGAAGTTTCCTCACTATTCCCATTCTATCAGTCACCTTCCCTTGGACAAACTGCCAAACCACTGTGATGTATTAAAGAAAAGCTGGCTTTGTCTGGCATGACAATTCATCAGCAGCTTCACACAGGAGGAAGACTAGAAAGCTCCACAGTTTGTTTTTCAATACTGTTCCTGAAGTTCTGAACAATCTTGTGATTTTTACAGAAGTTTTTCTGTAAGATCAATAATGTTTGGACCTTTCTAAAGTGCACGTTAATGTTTACAGAAAACAAATACATCCAACAAAGGCTCAACTGGCAACATGCAGTAAGCTTCATTTCAGTTCTTCATGATGTGTAGAGTTCAAAATGTAAGAGGTTTTTTTAGTGAGCTATTCAAAAGTGGAAATAGTTCCTCGTCACTAGTGGCTTTAATTTGGTCTCATTTGTTGCATTATTTTTATCTGCATTACTGGTTGTAGTTATTAGTTACTGGTTGTATTTAATGTTTAATGCACACTACACCATCCAAAGAATTCTGTTTATTGGATAATCTAAGTACAATAAATAAACCTTGTTAGTTTTCTCAAATTTAAAGTAACATGCTCTGTAATACATGAACCAGTTATTTTGCTGACCTTCACCTGCTACTGTATCATACTGTACTGAGAAAGAACTGAGTGAGAAGCAAGAGCCAGATTAAGTCAGAAATCCGATTACTCCATAGCAACTGTTTACCTGAACAAGAGACTAATGTCATGAAGCTACTCGTCTAAAATATGCTATGCCAACCATTTGCAAGGACTATCAAACCACTACTCAAATCCACACAATACTGCATGAGTTTCAACTCTGATTTTCTGTAGTATTATTTTAAAACCATCCCCACTGAAATCATGTTATAACAAATCAGTCATGCATCAGGGGGACACCTTTTTAGGTGAATTCGTATTTTATCAATCAGCATGCAAGAATTCCTAGAATCAGGAAACACTTCTAACATTAAGAAAAATGTTTGAAGTGTACAAAACAAGAACCAATCCAAGCAAGAAGGCATGGAAGTTTCAATTAGACAGAGAAAATGATGCAAAAATACTTAAACCTAGCCAAAATAGCTTCCTCCACAAATGAAGAGTTATAGTCAGACTGAGAATGCACTCTTTAGAGCCAGTGAGGTGTAGTGGATAGTGTAAGGGATGTGAGTTCAAATCCACACTTAAATTTAAGAGTGGTGACGGTATTGATAAACCACTTCCTGAACATCTAAGTGAATAAATATCTAAAGAAATGAACAAATACAATAAGATCACCTTAAGTTAAAACAACTTATTGACACATAATATGCAGGCTTTACTATCTCTCTTGAAACACTTTACTAGTATCCAAGTACTACTTTAGACAACTAAACAAAACAATTTCCATTTTGACTCACACAAACCATTTTTTCTGTAACTCAAAAATAAAGGAGACTTAGGAGCCCTTGAACACCATCATATATACCTGGTAGTCTAGCCTACATGTCAATAGTTGTGCAATCCCACACTCAGGAAACCAGCAAGTTTGCACCATCCCTACTACATCTCAGTAGCTCTCCTATCATGTTCTTTTTTTTATCCTAGTGCTAAAGCATAGTTTTTGGTCACCTGTGGGCTCAAAGGAAGTAAAAGGAAGTAAAAAGAGGATAAAGGAGTAAGAATGGACTACGGACATATGGACTTGCCCCATTTCTTCCACTGCTGCCTAAAGGTTGACAACTGTAGGCCGTTAGCTGAACTTGTGAAATGAAATGGAGGGCTGGAGCACAGGTAGCAATGTATAAAGTGACTAGAAAAGACTGAACATCCCAGTACACACTTGATTACCATGAATACGGTGGATAATCAAGCAGCCTTCATGTAGTGGAATGCAATTGGCCCTAAGCATCTCCTAAGAAACTGAATTCACTGAGGCCTTGCTGTTTTACTTCTCCTATAAATTATTTCTCGCAGGGTCTTAATTACAAAATATATTGAAGTTCCGGGAAGCAGAAATAATTTGAATTCGCTGGATATATGCCTCCATTACTGTAAGTGGAAGGGAAATGTGCACATGAATGGGGTGGGGGCATTTTAGTCAGTAAGCCTCTTTTCCCTTGAACAATTCAAGCCGCCCAGAGTGATAGAATATACCAGATGGGCGGGATATAAATCGAACAAATAAATAAAATAAATAAATCTGGAATTTGCAATGTGCCAAGGTTCTGTTATGCAAGAACATCTGTCTTGCTATGTTCAATAAACACTGCTCAATATATGCTTTGAGTATTAATAAGGCACTGTTGATGCTCTAGCATAACCATTCCAAATTAAGCACTAGAAGCAAAGCAAATAAATTTTAAACAGCTAGAAAAAACATTCATTTCAAATTATTAATATAAAAAGCAATTTTTCATTTTAGAAAGCATCCACTTCCCAATGGAACTTACACTAGTCCGGCAACCACAGGTATTTGTTTGGGACTTGAAATCTTAGTAATACCTAAGGATATACAGTAATCCAAAGCACCTGGTTTTACAGTCCAGGCATATTTTATGGTAACAGAAGGAAGCACGTCTTGGAAGGTAAAGAAACATAAACAAGGAAAAGTGGAATAGCACTTGTAATTGTGAAAGTTTTTTTAAAAGGATATGATCAAATGTAGGGGGTGAATGTAGTACCCCTGCACTGCATGTAGTGCTGTAAGGAAAAGTCAGTATCCCATGTACACATGGGGGATAAGAATATGATATCAAAATGGGTCTTTGGTCAAAGCCAGGATTCAATGAGTTTCACAAACCCAGATGTTGATCACTATAATACAAACATAAAGCTAAAAATGCCCCTTCAGAATGTAAGAACTTAATCAAACAATGCTTTAAATTATAAGTACTGATATTCTATTTATGGTCAAAAGAAGCAAGTCTCATAGTCATGTGAACAAATTATTCCAAAATTGTTTTGAAAGGTTTTAAATGTGTCTTTCATGTTTGTAACTACTGCAAAGCATCTCATCTACCACTACTGGAAAACTGATCTGCATATGTCTTTCCAGACCATAATGGAGACTTCTCTATCTCTTGGCAAAAACAATACTTGATGATACTCCAGTGTCTACTAGCCATTACCTAAACACTCCCCATCCCTGAAAAGAATCCAAAGAACTACTATGGTGGATCTAATTAAATCAAAAGAAAGGCAGTCTATAGCAACCTCCTTTGTGGCCAGAACAAAGTAAACCAATGAAAAGTAGGTTCAAGATAAGAACAAAAATGTATGCTTCCAGAATGCCTTTGAAGCCATAGCAATTGGCAAGACTGCAACCAGTAACAGGAAATTTAGGTCAACTTGTGTTTTAGATAGTAGCTTTCCTCCCTCAAAACCAGTGACACTAAAATGAACAATATTCTTCCTCAGTATGCTGCAATGATTAGCATTCCTCTTTAGCCATTTAATCAAACTTAAGTTCTAAATCAACATCAAAAATATAAGCAGGCTCTAAAATTATTTCCACTGTCCAGAAAACAAAATCCTCCATAGATTATACCAAGTTTATTTTCCTAGGTGCCACTACAACAATTGTAGAAGCCCATATGATACAGCCCCAAATATAGCTATTTGTATTCCAGGCATGTGTTAAGCCACCAAATCCAACTGTGGCCATCCTGAAAAACTGAAGATCGCCCAGATGACATATTAGAACTAACAAATTCTGTGGTGACTCTAATCTTCACAGGATACATGTAAAAGCATGAATACTGGATGTTCATAAGGTGCTTATAAACATTGGATGGTTACATTGACACTGTCCATGTTTTAAACTGTCTCACTTTCATAAACTGCTTTATTCTAAGCGGTTTGTAAGTGCAGTTTGACAATTTTATAAATATATCTCTAGAGTACATATATAACAGAAATATTTATTGCCTGTGAATCATCTGAGCATATAGTAGTGTTCAAGCAGGTCATTCTAATGAACTGAGAAATATTTAGGAAACCAGCCAATTCTAAACATTCCATGTGGTAAAGGAAAATTCAATAAATACAAAATGCTATGCATTATCACACTACCTTCTTTTTTCCCCTGAAATTTTTTTTAGTTCTGCAGTACTATCAGATCTAATATCTTGTCATTGAACAGATACCTGAACTTTGAGTGATATGAACTACTTTCAGGGCCACTGAAAGCGTTTATCATGCAAAAAAAAAAAAAAAAAAAAAATAGACAACATTGTGGAACCTTAAAGACTAACTGCTACATTTTAAAGTGAGCTTTCCTGGAGAACTCTAGTTCCTCAGACATAAAAATCAGCTTAGTGTCTGAGAAAGTAGACTAAGAAAATTTAAGTATACAGTAGCTGATACACTTGCATGGAAATTTAATATCAAAACTAGCCAAACTTGAGTAAAACTGCATTAATTAAATTTCAATTAGCAATTGTATAAATTTACATTTCAGTAAGAAAATTTATCCTAAAAGTAAAAGCTGAGGTCAGGACTAAGCCAGAAATGAATTTACCTCTTTTTACAGCATAATCGAGGCTATGAATATCAAGGTCTCTGACAAAGTATAGTATAGTATGTCTTGAAAGGCTTCATTTAAGGCAAAAAGTATACCGTTCCCAAACGGATACAAATATTAGGTCAAAAAAAGACAGCAAGGGAGAGAGTGGCTCTCTCATTACAGCTGTTCAAGCCTAGGAAGAAAGCTGCAAGGACTCCGCATTATGCCACCACACAGTTCACGAAGGTTCTTCAGATGCCAGACATTTCCTTCCAAAGAAATAACTATACCAGACCATGAGGACAATGTGGTAGAACCAGGTCTTATTCTTTGATTCCTTCTCCATAAAGCTCTGCAGGAACACTAGTATCTGCAGGATCTCTGCTCTAAATTATCAAGCAAGAAACCTCAGGAGTGAAATACACTCCTACTCAATTCCCATATACTTCTGAACAACTTCAGAGCTATAAGACAAAAATACAAGTCTGAATTAAACCACTGTTGAGATCCCAATCTTTTAACTCTTATCAGTCATTGATTAAAACAAAAGAAAAAAGCACCAATGATAACGCTGGTCTCTACTCCCCCACCCTACGATCGCTGAAATGAAGCCCCAGTGGTTGGTTTAATGATCTACTTGCCTATGATGCGATAGCCCTGCAGAATCTTCGCCTCCTTTCCCCACTCAATTTTTTAAATAAACCATTACCCATCAAATTTTTTTTAAAAAATCCGCCAACTCCACGGACTATTAAAAATGTGAAGATCCCTGCAAGTCATTTCAACTGCAGCGACGGCTTAAAAATTAAAATTAAAAAAAAACCAACCCCACCAGCCGGAGTCCTTGCATGTGCAATCTTTACAACGCAGTTAAATGTGGAAGATGCAATACATTTGCAATGCCCCATACGTCCCCAACTAAATATATATATATACTGTATATATAGCAAGGGTGCAGCAGCAGCGACAAACCGATTACTATAGTAACGATGTTCCACCCGCCCCTCCCCATGCCAACGGTCTCAACCCCCCCCAAAGTAATCTTAACTAAGGTAAACTGTTATCGCCTCGACACACAAATATACCGCACTCTCTCCCCCCCCCCACGCGAAAGAACCAGCATGGCGCCCAGAGCAACCGTTGGCGTCAGTTTGAATTTCGAATCCAAACGAGGAACGGTGACACAGGCAGGGCGGAGATGTCAACCTCCCACGCGCCTTGTCCTCACAAGCCCCTCTCGAGCCACCAGCTGCCAGACCCGAGGGAGGACTGAATCGCGCGCGCTTTTTCTCCTCTCTCTCTCGCTTCCCCTTCTCTCTCCCCACCCCCACTGAAGCTTATCGGCCATACATGCGAGCCAACCCTCCGACTACATTCGACCCCCGACCGACGCAGCATTACCCCCCTCGCCCGACCAGCATCCCCAACCCCCTTTTTTGCTAACCATGTTGGCTTGTGCCGGGCCTAGCGGCGGCTACTGCTGCTAATGCGCGAAATAGGTGCAAGCCTTCTTAGGCACCAGAAGGCGGGAGTGGCGCACCGTCGGTCGGTCAGTGCCTCTTCCTTTCGCTGCCACTACCTAATCGTTCGGTAGTCCTCCTCACACTGAACACAACTCCCCGGCCGGCAGAGTCTCATAAACCACCTCACCGCCCTCTCGGATCCATCCGCGCTCTAACTCTCTCTCACACACCCCCGCCGCCATAATACAGAAAGAGAAGCGCGCGGCAAAAGAAGATCCGGCTCCACACCCTCAGTTAACGTATCGACCGTTGCCGGCTGTTGATTACATATATTCGCGCTCTCTCTTCCAGCTTCACTCAGATATTCCCGCAACCACACAACACGAAAAAGTCCCATTCTGAAAAAAACAGTCAGCAATAAGTTCTCCCTTCTAAAGCGGTACTGCTATATGCGTTGTTTATTTCTCTCCTGAAAGGGGGGGACTAATTCTCTTGGCGGATGAAGACCGAGGATGGAAAAACGTGTGTGTGAGGAGACCACCATCGGCCTCCACTGATTGGTGGCTTCTTACCTGCAATGCGTCACTCGGGCATGCACAGTCTGGGTTGGGAGCGCTGCGCCCCCTGCAGAGGAGTCAGACAGTCGAAACAAGAGTGAAAGGCGGGAGTTGGGGAGCGTCACTGGAAGGCGGGCGGGGCTGCTCGGGAAGACTAAAGGAAAGGCAGCGCTGGCGCAGTAAAGCGACCGCAGGAGCCTTTGACAGAATGTGTGTTTTGTGCTTTCTGTATATGGAAAGTTCCCGGGTTGGAGCAGTGGCGAGGCTGAAGCAGTAGCGGGAATAAGCCTTGTTAGGAAATGATAACGTTACGTATTGTAGAAGTATAGAAGCAAATGGCTGCCAAAAATATTTTTTTTAAATGGCAAAGAGTTTCTCACCTCATGAGGCGCAGAGACAGAGAGGGAACTAAGGTGCAAAGGAAGCCTTTTTTAAAAAAAAAGTTTTTATTGATTCTAAAGCTGCAGCCTTGCTCGCATTTTCAAGAGAGGCGCAGCCCTGGAACCCCATTAGGACAATTCAGTACGCATCCATGTGCTGCTTGAGCACCATTCAGGGCTATTAGCAGCAGCCAAAACGATGGCATATCATCCGGGCTGGAAAACAAATTTGAGGAAGAAACGGTCGTGTGGCTGAGGGCGAGAAGGCTGGGGCAAGTGGTGGTGGGCCACTCTCCCCCCACTCTCCGATCTGTGGGCTGGGGAAGCAAAGAGAGGCGTGTTCCTCGAAGGGTCCCCTCAGAAAACGGCTCCGCTGTTAGGAGTTATAGAGGGGAGTGTTAAAGGCTTGGTTGTCTCTGTTGGGGAGGCGGGGATCTGCCTCTTCCGATTGCAGCTCAGTTAGTCTTTAAAACGGGGGTGGGGGCTTCTTCCAGCATGGGGTTTACGCCTTAGGATATGGGGCATTTCAAGCGAGGCAGCGCCTGCCTTCTCTCTCCCTCGTGCGCAAATGTCAGAACTTGGGGGCAGGCAGTGGCTGCTGCAATTGCAGTGAGGCGCGGACGTGTGCGATGTGGGAAATGTGGTGCCTCACGTGCTTTTGAGCAATGCGAAGGGGACACGGGCGACCGTTGGGTGCCATGGCGGGAGTAAACACATCCCTGTGCACTGAGGCGTTGTAAAGGGGGCAAAGCAGGCGCGGGGAGAGGCGGGCTAGGATTTCATATCCCGAGGGTTCTTAAAATACAGCCCTGAGGAGAACCGTCGGTTTGACAGAAACTAGGCGTCCTTCCCTCATCAAGAAGCCGTGAGGTGTTTCCTGTAAGAAGGAAAGACTGAATAATAATTGACTTCAAAACAAAACAAAAAAACCACCCAACATCCAGTTTTCTTCCTTTTATGGTAGAGGCAAATAATTGTACAGAGCCCTTTCAGTTAAAATGATTTTGTTAAAGAGGAGCGGGGAGCAGATGGTTTTATTTCTCTGAACTGGAGAAACGAAATCCTAGGAATTTCAAGGGCAGAAGAGTGAAAAAAGGGAAAAACGACTTTGGTGCATAGGTTCATAGTTCAAAAGTGCATGGGCAAGAATTGAGTGTGAATAGCAGGAAGACTAAACCTGATGTTACCTGCATTCAGAAAGCATACCTGCTGGGAACTGCCTTTTAAATTGTCATGTTTTGCTGCCTGGGAGAGAGGTCAAATATTTTATGTGAGATTTCCAATTACATTACCATCTCAGGACATGAATACTATGTTTGGATATAATGTCTGTCATTTTAGAAAGACGCTGTTTCGTTTTTAATAATCTCAACATTTTACACATTTTGAGACACTTTAAAAGTTATGCTGGGGTAAGTAGAACAATTAATTTTTTAATTAACATTCTGCTTTGCATTGAAATCACATTTGATTCCTCTTCATCACTTTCAGTATCCCTTAAAGTCTACAGCATGAAAGACAAATCCATGGCTTCCTATCAAGCAGACTACAGTATTTATAAATCAGAAAACACACTAATTCCCAGCGTGATGTAGTGGATAGAATGATAGACTTGAACTGGCAAACAGGGTTCAAATCCCCACTCAACCGTGGAAACTCACTTGGAGAGTGGAGCTGGTAAACCCACTTCTTAAATATCCCACTTGCCTTGAAAATTCTATTAAGGGTCACTGTGAATTGGTTTTGACTTGACAGTACAGAACACACAAAACAATAATCCTGAGGTGCGTATGTGATTCTTGGAGGGTGAACACAATTTAAAATACTGCACAGTATTAGTTCAGGTCATTATTGCTCTTTTCTTAATTTATGAAATTGTTAACTGTACAGCATGAATCTTTTCCCCACAAAATGGAGAAGCTGCTTTAGCAGTGGTTCCAGTTCTTGATTCTGGAAAGTACTGGGAACTGTTGTAATATGGGGGCTTGGAGTCATGAGTTCTGACATGAAGCATCCTGTCACAAGACACAGTTTCTGTTGTCAGGGCTGTAAGATACAATAGAGTGACAAACTCAAGGTGTTCAGTTATGATTCTGGGTAATATAAATGGTTTATTTGGTTGCAGATATTTTATTTCAACTGATTAACATGTATACTGGTTACGTAAACATGAGAAAACAAGATTGGATTTAAGCCAGTACAACCTTTTTAATGTGCTGTGATTTTAATGTAGCTTTCTTTGGAAGAATGGGAAAACTAAAGAGAACAGGATAGCTAAAAACTTAGTCAGACATTGGAGGCCTTTTATCTCTCTCAGCTTTTTCAGAAGTGTGGCAGTCAGTGGACCTGTGGGACAGAGTATTCTCAGTTGTGCTATCTATTCAGAAAGCTCCACCACATAAGGTCCATTTGGCTGTTTTGCTGCTTAGTTGGGAGCAGAAAATAACCACCAAGTTTTTGTTACTGTTATACGTGGAATAGTGATTGTAGGAAACAGTTTAACAGAAGGGAGCAGCCAAATTTTAATTAGACCTGCCTAGTAGATGGAGAAGGTATTACAGTATAAATTTATGTCTTCCTCTGATGAAGCTACTGTAAGAATTTACTGGTAAGTGTGGTTGGTGAAATCTTTAAAAAAACCTGGGAGTTTTCTCAGGTGAGATTTTAGCTTTCCGGGACAGATGATGAAATTGATAGTTTTGAATGAATAATGAACTATTATTTTTTATGGATTAGCCATTCATGTTAATTAGATTAGACATTATGTCCTTTGGTAGAATGAAGTTTGATCAAGGAGAAAAATACCACCTTAAGGAGGGTAGGAGACATGTTAAATATAGTATAAAGGAGCACAAGAAGATTTCAGGATCCCAATACAGTATATTTTGAGTCTTTAGTGCTTCAGTATAGCAATACCCCATACCAATGTCAAGTAGTTACACATACAACAATATTATTAGAATTTTGGGCCAAGTTTAGTATGCTTGGCATTACCTGTTGAAAGTATCTAACATGATTGTCAGCTTGTGGGTGGGGACTGCCTTATCCTTGGATCTCTGAACAGCTCTTCAACAATTTAATATATTTTATAAATTGTGATAGTAGCTGTATCTGCTCTATCAGTGTTCAAAACAAACATGGGGTGTTGAGCTTGGCATTGTGGGGGTGATTAATAGATGTAATACCGTACCTTTCACATAGTTCATCTAACTCATTGATTTAGATTGATTTAATAATTTACAACTTATGTCAATTATAGGATACAGCAAGTGTTACTGTGTATGTGGATATAAGAGGGCAGGTCTGCACACAGAGCATAGAAAACCTAAAGAAAAACATAAATATCATATAAACTGTTATAAACTAATTAAATTTATTATAAGTTTTTAAAGCTTTCCAGTCCATACTCCAAAAAATGGTAAAAATAAAGCATACCTTATGTATTTCTTATGTCAGGACAACCAGGCTCTTTGGAAACAAGCTCTTTTTATCTGGGAGTTGTTTTTAAAAAGGCTTTATACTAGCAAGGTGATTCAGCACCTGAAGCCATCTAGTCTAGATTGCTTCTACAACAATGACATTTAACAGTACAAGCACCAGGTTTTGTAGCTTGCTGACAATTCATCTAGTTTCTCACCAAGAATGTATCTAATCTCTGGGTTTTTCAATCAACCCTAAGACTCTTACAGAGCATTCAGTCCAATATTTTACTTATAATGTTCCCTGCTTCCTTTTCTATGCTTCCTAAATGTTGTCTAAGTTGAACTTGGTTTTTAGGTTGTTGTCCCAGTATACAATTAGTTTCATAAGATGCAGGGTTAGTATTGTGTGAATTAAAAGCAACAAAACAGTTTTGCAGCACCTTAAAGATTGACATGTTTGTCTGCCATAAGATTTTTGTGGATTGTTGGCCATTTTTATGCATCAAGTAGACAAAAGTCCACAAAAACTACACTGAATAAACATGGTTCGTCTTTGAGGTGTCATAATAATCTGTTGTTTTTGTTGTAACAAGCTAACATAGTTGCATTCATAGAATGAATATGTGAGCCTGATTGTAGAGATTTATGTTTTTATTCTCTTTGTATTACTGTAGAATTTGCAGTTTCTTCAAGCAAGGTGTCCTAGTGGGATCCTGTCAAAACTTATTTCTGCAGAATTATATTTAACATAACATACGACATACATGATTACTGTATACCAGCCAATTGGCTGCAATCCCAGTAAGTGTAAATGTAACTTCAG